AGGAGAAGGAGAAGGAGAAGGAGAAGGAGAAGGAGAAGGAGAAGGAGAAGGAGAAGGAGAAGGAGAAGGAGAAGGAGAAGGAGAAGAGGAGGAGGAGGGGGGAATCTTTAAAAATCTTTAAAAAGAAGACAACTAATGTAAACCTGGATGTGATAAGTTCTGGGAGAATAAAATGGGTGGAGATTCTTCAGTTTGCCTTCTGATAAATGAGTGTTTTGTGACTGGCCACATCTTCTGTCGCAGCCTTTTTGTAAGAGTGCCCATGAAATACTCTCAAAATTGGAAATGCACTCACCAGCTCAAAAAATCACAAACTCCAGATTTAGAGTTTACAAACAATAATCAACAACTTTTTTAAAAAGCACAATACTGGGTACACTTACTTGCCAAATCATTTCCAACTATGGGCATTAATAAAAACACAGCCCTCAGGCCAGTTAGAGTAAAAGCCAGCATCTCTATAGGAATGCATGTTTTGAGCAAAGACAGATCCAAGTATGGGGAGCACAGAGGTCTTGAACCCCAAATAATAGAAGCCTGACATGGGCCATTCCTTAGCATTGAAAGAAGTAATGCCTCCTTTTTGAGGTTCTCCTGCCACCCTGCCATGAAATTTTCAAAACATACAACCAAATCTTGCAAAAGATGGGGGATATGATACAAATAGTAATACTGCTCCATATTCTATGATTGCAATCATGTCTCTCAGATGTCCAGACCTTAAGGATCCAGAAAATAATCTGCAGACAGGTTAGGAACCCTTTTCCTTATTTATTTATTTCCCACAATGGCTGTTCTTATTATTGGGGGACCGTTTTTACTGTTACTGAGCTACATGAAAAAAATGTGGGGTTTTTTACATGGTAAATGGGAATGCCACCTCTCATGGTAGACTCAACACTGTTAAGAAAAAGCTGGAGACCTCCAGGGAGTTTACTCCTCTCTTGTTTTTTTTCATCCTTTAACTACTATCAAAACAAAGCTGAGAAAAAGCCTTAAATCCCGTTTGGGTGAAAGGTGATTTAAATACCCTGCAAAGCTCAGTGTGCGTTCTTATGAACTTTTCTTAATCTTAAAAACCAAAGCCTAGTAACAGAAGCGATTACAGTCTATAATGAACACCAGGAGCATTGGAAGCTGGTGAAACAGCAGGGAGCAGATAGACTCCTATTATTGGCAGCAGTTCATTTTAATTTCTATAATGCTTGCAGATATAATGAACACAAAATATATTAACACAATAAATAAGCAGCTTCTAGGAAAAGAGCATATTCCATCTAATCCTATAGAGAAGGAACGGTGGCAAAAAAAGCCAAATTCATGTTATAATTACTGTCAGTCTAAATAGCTGAATTTCTCCTCTGCAGCTTTCCAGTAATCAAAGGCATCGGGCATGCCAACAGCTTCCTACCCAGATGTTGCACACTGCCAGGAAAGAGCTAAACTATCTGCAGAATAGAAGACTGGAAAGCTTTATTAATAGAAAGAAAGGTTCGTGAAGCCAACTTTTAAAATAACGTGTGAATATAACACCTGTTGTTACAAGTGTTTACTACTATTTCTGAAATTAGTACCTGCTGTATTACTCTCTGTACTACCTGTTTCCAGTGGAATTCTATAGGTCTTAAAATACGCCACATCAAAGTTTTTTCTACTAAAAACTCTTTGGCAAAGTTGAAGCAGATTGTTCTAGATTTTGATTTTTGCCTGTCCCGAAACAGAGAACTCCTGTCTAAATATTTAGGTCATAATTTATATTTTTGCAGTGAATTCAATGATTCTGAACTGCACTGACAATTTATTTAAAACCACACTCAGCAAATTCCTTTAAATCTCAATAAACCTGAATATCCTAGCATAAGACAGTCAATACAAGACCAAGCTGAATAAGCAGCGGAATTTTAAAAAAGGCAAATATTGATTGATTGATTGATTGATTGATTGATTGATTGATTCATTCATTCATTCATTCATTCATTCATTCATTCATTCATTCATATATCCCACCGCAATCAATTTGGCAACATGGGAAGAAAACTTTAAAAAATCTGGGACTAGACTTTGCAGCAAAATGTATGTTTACATTCAGCATTTTTTTTCCAGCATGTAAGTAGGACAAACTAAATTGGATCCTTATATTAAAATGAAGACTACTATTAACCTCAGGTTGATTGCTTCCAACAAATTCCTTATAAACTCAGTTAAGATGTAAACATGTATTAGTAAGCAGCAATTATCTCATGAGACAACAAGAAAATAAGAGTACTTGGAATGGTCAGGGGTACCATGCATACCAATTATTCACATTGGGATTATATAATGAACTCTAAACCAGGCCTCATGTATACATAAGTCCCAGGGAACCTTGGATAGCCATCAAACAGGTAAAGCTATCTTCTCATACAAAGTGTCATGTTCACAGATAGTACTGTATAAATAATAAGACGTCATACTGAACATATTCAGGCAAATTCATTT